ACGAAGCATAGGGAAGTTAAGTCCTAAATTTTTTTACTCCATGGATGGAAAAGATCAAGAAAATAATTGAAACTATCACTATTGGAAGTAAATGAAAAATCAAATTTAAATGCACAAGTTTGGACTATATTCGATAGCGCTCACAAGAATGAAGCCCCCATCGGCAAGCTCTAAAAAAACCTTGAAATCCCAACTGAAGGGATTGTTGGCAGCAACACCACGTCGGTATTAATTGGATTCAACCATGAAGTAAATAGTGAATGAAATAGAAAATTTAATAAATTTGAAATAAAAGAAATCCCTAATTTTATGTTAAGTCGGGTTACTTTTAGGAGAATCTTAGATGATTATGCATTTAGGATTCTCATAATTGTAACATAATCCCTATTTTCACGTTTTAAAATGAGATATTTAAGGAATAGAAAAATGATAGTATATAATAAGAAGTTGTATAAATTGTATATACTGTAATTATTTTAAGATAGTTGTAACTTTTATAAATAACTCTTCAAAACGTTATTTGGGGTAAATTTCTCTCTGACGAACTAAGAGCCAGTTTGGCCAAGCTTCTATGAGGCCAAAAGTATTTTTTTCTCCCAAAAGAGTACTTTTTAAAAAATTTAAGTTGTTTAGCCAATACAGAAAAGTACTTTTTGCCAGCAGCAGAAGCAGTTTTTCTGCTTTTGGGAAGAAGCAGAAAATTATAGCTTCTTCCAAGAAGCAGAAGCAGAAGCATAAGTAGAAAATTAATTTATTCAAGACCAAAATATCCTCGTCATAAATTTATATTTTTCAAATTATCCCTTACTAATTTAAGTTTTTTCTTTTCATTTATGTTTCTAGTTTTTACCATCCTATTAAAATTAAAGATATCATATATATGAATCATATTGTAACTTTTCAAAAAATTTATTGACTTTTCTTGTTTTTGATCTTTTCTTTGGATAATGTCTCGTAACTTTCCAAATTATCTTCTTCTTTTTTCACACTAAAGCAAATTATCTGCATCTTCTTTGGATTATCAATTCTCTTCCTACAGATAATTATTTATAATTTCTTCTATTATATGTTAATTAGTTCCCGAATCTTTAAAATAGTTATCAAATCTGATTTGTAAAAATGACCTACAAATAGGTAATAAATTTACAATTGCATTGCATAATCTATCTATATATTATTAAAAAAAGAGGAAAATGCATCCATATTTAGTCAAGTGGCAGCCTCACAATAGGCCACTTGGCATTTTAGGACAAAGTGGTAAGGTTAGGTAATAATTATTTTCTTTCTGAATTTAATTTTTTTTAAAAATAAATTATACGTTATGTGTTGTTAATAATTAGTTACTCTTTTTGAATTAGAATTTAAACATACTTAATTATTTCTTTAACGCTTTTTTTTATATATTTAAAATTATTTTTATTTTACGTTCAACGCCATCTTTCAGGTTTGACACTCAAAATTATCTAGCTACAACTACATGGCTATACATAATTTAATCCGACAACATTCTTCTACCAATAAAGAATTCAACTATTATGCTAATGAAGACATTACTGAAGAGATTGATGAAGGAGATCAGCCTTCTCATATTCCTTTAGAAATGCGAGGCAAGTCTTCTACTAATATGGAAGCATTATGTGATAGAAGTAGAGATGAAATTGTTGAGAAGTATAATCATGTGTGGGTGACTTTACTTATTATTTCATGATGGATTATCAATATATAGTAATTTGTGGATAGACTTCTAATTTATACTGAATGATGTTATTTTAATTACTCAAACCATCATATAAAAATAAGTAATTATACTAGAAAATATCATATACTTTAATACAACTATATATATAAAATTGATTTAATCTTTAATATGTTTGTTTACTTTATGTTTATATTTTAATTAAATAAACAAAAAAGTCTCTTACGATAAATATTTAAGTTTATATTTATATTTAAAAGAATTATACGACCTTGATACTATCCTTTTTGGTAATTTGACACTCAAAAGCACTTTTTGAATTGATTGGTCAAACACAAATTATTTACCAAATGTACTTTTAAAAAAAGTACTTCTGAAAAAAAAGTACTTTTCAAAATAAGCAGATTTTGGCAGCTTGGCCAAACGGGCTCTAAGGGTGGCAAACGTGCACGTTGACTCGGATATGGGAGGGTCAAAATTAATAATGCAAAAATGGATAAAATATTTGATCTGTCCATATTTAATATGGATAGAACATAAACTAACTTGTGGATAATATGGATGCTCATATTATTCATACCTTCTTGAATACGATCACCTTTGGGAGAATTTCAAGTCTCTCAAATTTGAGAAACCCCCAATTTGAGTCTTTACAAATGTAAAATTAAACTCAATGGTTATTCATTAAGTATTCATCTGTTAAATGGATATTATAAAATTTATTCATATTTTATCCGTTTTCAAAAAGTTCATTAGCCAACCTATTTTTTAGTATAGATGAATAATTATTTTTATAAACCATTTTGCCGCCACTCTGACCAACTAAACGAGCTATCAATGGAAAGGAATGACGCAGCGGTACAAAACACCTGGCTAGCTAGTACCATAGTCTTTTTATGGGTATCTACCCTAGCAAGTAACGAGACATAATTCTGATTGATGAGTCACGAGCCGGTGTTAACGAGAGACTAGAAGTTTGGAGACAGACTCTTGAGTCTAAAGGTTTCAAGCTGAGCAGAACGAAGACGGAATACCTGGAATGTAAGTTCAGCACTGAGCCGGGGGAAGTGGGCGTGAATGTGAGGCTTGAATCACAGGTTATCCCAAGTAGAGGCAGCTTCAAGTACCTTGGTTCGGTTATCTACGGGGGATGAGAGATCGATGAGGATGTTGCACACCGTATTGGGGTAGGATGGATGAAGTGGAGGTTAGCATCCGGAGTTTTGTGTGACAAGAGAGTGCCAACGACACTCAAAGGTAAGTTCTATAAAGCAGTGGTTAGACCGGCCATGATGTATGGGGATGAGTGTTGGCCTGTTAAGAACTCACATATCCAAAAGATGAAAGTAGCAGAAATGAGGATGTTGAGGTGGATGTGCGGACACACCAGGATGGACAAGATTAGAAAAGATGATATTCGAGAAAAGGTGCACGTGGCTCCCATAGATGACAGGATGCGGGAAGCGAGGCTTGGATGGTTCGGACATGTACAAAGGAGAAGCCCAGATGCTCCAGCAAGGAGGTGTGAGCGAATGGTTGTGGAGGGCACGAGAAGAGGTAGAGGGCGTCCTAAGAAGTATTGGGGAGAAGTTATCAGGCAGGATATGGCGAGGCTTCAGATTTCCGAGGACATGACACTTGATAGGAAGTTATGGAGGTCGTGTATTACGGTTGTAGGCTAGGAGGTAGCTGAGCCTTGCGTTACCTTATACTGTTGTGAGCCTAGTTTGG